GAAAATAACTGAGTTATTACCTCCAAATGACAGTGCAGCTTTTCCTTCTGTTATGGGTGCCTCACCACTCTCCTTGAGTTGGGCGAACTTGCGTCTGTAACCGCTGACGTACTCTACTCGTAGTTTGGATAAATTTTTAATAGTGTCATAGTATGTATTGCTACCTTTCATCATTGCATTCAGTTCTGTTGAGAGCTCCACCTTGGCCTCTTTGTGCAGGAACTCAACAGCACTCTTGACGCGGTTAATCGTTGAGACCGAATTGTACTTGCGTGGTACAAGCTCGTATCCGTTCAGGCTCCGTTTAACGGATGCATATGAAAACATCAACTTGCAGAGGGCTGGGGTCACAGGAACGACAATGCGTTGCGCTGTTACGTACTGTGGATGCTCGTTATGCAACCATCTTACGAGGCGTGCGAGTATCGATTCGTACTGTGATCTTGTGTATTCCACAATCCGGAGTGCGATTACATCGTCCGCCGTCTCGGTAGAGTTTGAGGTCGTTGGTTGAGAGGTCGTGTGTTGACGTTGTCCGCGGCCCATGGTTGGAGCTGTTCGTTTCGAGTCTGAATCCTTCCATGGTTACTTAGTATATATGCTGTAGTACTACTATCGTTCAACTAGTACCTAATGTTTCGTGAATGTTTCGTAAATCAATGGTATTTTTCTATACTTGCAGTAGCATACAAAATCCAGCATAAAGGAAAACCTATACTTCGGTTTTACGTAACAAAACTGTTTCGTGACACCATTGAATTTGTTTCGTATTTGTTTCGTAAACCATGTATATCTAACGTTAGTACTGTACTACAGTAGTATTAAAACTACTGTAGTCTTGTAAGCTTAGTAACGTTATCATACTGGTAACATGGACTTCGATGTGACCCAACGTTGGTATCGATTTGGAAAGTCAAATACTCACACATTCGTGCCAACAATAATTGTATATAACGTTAGCGTGTGTGTGGTGTTGAAGGGTCAATGTAATGATGGTTTGACAATAATAAATATATACAGTAATTTTTCCAAATACGAGTTTGCGATGAACGACGGAGGGGCCACCAATCCCAGTCCTTTTCTACGTCAATTGGTGCAGGGTCGTCGCGAATCGTCGGCCTTTCTCACTGTGTACTACATATCCATATCAAATTCACTTTTGAACTTGCTCAATCAAACCATCATGCGTGGATTTACGGCGGTGGCTGCTTGTATTTTTGCTGGTGCTCTGTTGATCCCCCAAGCAAAAGCAAACTGCCCCATCGCGAACCCCAAAAAGTCCAATTGCTGGTGCGACGCCGCCATGAAAAAGCCCAAGACGGTCGGTAACTGCGACAGCGCTCGAAACCAGCACTTCCACCAAAGCGCGCACAATGCCAAGCGTAAGGGGGCCATGCACTACCTCTGCTGTGACAAAGCCAGAGCCAAGTCGTACTGCATGACCATCGCCCAAGGCCAGGCCTGTGGTTGGGAACAAGGGATTGCGTTTTATTAGATCATGACACTATATATTCCCACCAGAATATCCTTGACCAGAGACGCACTGACTTAAGTCGTAAATACCAACCATATGTGCAAAGGTAGGGAGGGTTTCCAACGATCCAAGCCCCAATCACACAGAAGTGCCTTTCTATTAATAGACTATGAATAGACTGTTATTAATAACCAACCTACTATTGCGGATATGGTACAGAATTCCAGATTCCGTCGAATCGAATCTCGCCAACTGAACCTATCACAAACCTCGCCCATTGGCTAATCTATTCATGCTAGACTATGATTGGCTACTCCGAAACCAGCCTTTCATTGAACAGGCTTTCAGAGAACGTGCCGCACTGCAACTCACAACATCCACGCGGACTCCGCGTGGATCATGATTTTTCCATCCCTGACGCGGACACCACCATGGACGTTGCAGACACTCCCGCGAGGAACACGATATCCTCACAAAGCCCACGTCAAAGCCTACAACCAGAGGTGGGGGCGCTCTCAACCTCGTTGTACGAGCTCACACTTGAGCCTATGGTCAAAGAGACTGTCGGTCAGCGCAACGCGTCCGCTGTGAGGTTGGCAACGTTCGACTGTGGTGGTGCGTCGTGGGAGTGAAATGAATCGTTTTCTCGTCCTTCCCATAGAGGACTGCCAAACAAGACTTCTGCATCCCTAGGAAGTCGTAGTCATAGAGGAATAGCATCATAGTGTTGGGGCTGGCATGCCTGTGCAAGACAACAGACTCAATGGCGCTCATGGGTATCGACGAGCTGCCAGAAGGGCGTGCGTTTGGAAATGGCGCGCAAATGCGAAACTGCCAAACGCACAGATAAACCGATCAAACGCCGTCGCATGGTTTATGAAAGTAGGGATTTGAACCTCTCTATATCCGGAAAAATCGACAATATTAATAGTATCTATGTACTATCTACCCCACTGCAGAGAGAGATATCGTCTGACAATACAGGGATGCGCAGCGGACTTTGCGCCGCATACATTAATCACGACCAACGCAAAAAGGTGTCACTGATCATGGCTCAAGTGTGTCGTATCCAATAAACGTTGTCACATGCTTGTAGTAGTTTTAAAATACCAGTACTATTATTAATAATAGTAGTATTATTTAATACTCCGGAGTAATATTAATAGTGATCACAAATCGGTCCCATGCACACTCCACTACTAGTACCTACCTAGTAATGATGATTATTTTCAAACCCTCCGTTTCCAACGCCGAGGTTTTGTTTTGAAAGTACTAGTAATACTAGTAACTACTGCTAATTAACTGTCCATACGCTTACTACATATTAATAAGGACAAGATATGAGTTTACACTTCAAATATCATCATGTCGACGAACTGTCATTATTTGTTAAAGCTTATTACTCGTCGTCTTCTTCTTCGTCCACCACTTCGTAGCCGTACGCAGCAGCCATTTCGTCGACAGTCGTGGGGGTGTTATCACTAAGTCGTTGGAACATCTTCGTTTCTTTGCATTTCGGGCCAAACACTATGGCACACACATTCAAAGCACGCGTGTACGCGGCCGACGCTTTGGCTATTTCGCCATTGCTAATATGGGCCTGGGCCACCGAGTTGTAGAGCGATACTTTTTCAGAGTGCGGATACGGCACGACGTACTCGAGCGCATCCACGAGGCGGTACAGTACCGACAGCGCCTCATCTTCCGACATGTGTATATCCGTGACCGAGTCATCCGTGAGGACTTCCATGGCCGAGTAAAAGATGTAATGGAATGGATGGAGCAGCGAGTCGTGGATGATCAAGTCGAGTTGGGCAAAGCTGTCGGCTTCCAAGTCTGTTGTGAACGTGGTTTCTTCCATTTCCGCGGCCGCCACCGTGTCGGCGTCCCATATCGCGCCACATTTGGTGCATGCAAACACGGCTTGGGTCGGATGGACGAGGCCGTCGCAGCCGCCGTCGACTTGACATTTGAATGCCCGTGTCTTGTCGGGCGCGGTGCCCACACACACGCCGCATGTGCATGCTTGACCTTCCGCCGTGAGCACTTCGACGCGCTCGGCGGCGCACATGTAGTGGGTGTTGAAGAAATCGACGGTGATCGGCTCGCCGACGGCAATGGGGCGGATGGCCGTGATCCAGATGGCTTCACCGGCGTCCGTGAAGCTTGCGTTGGGTTCGCAGCTGTGCTTGAGCTTGGACACGTGAAGGAACAAGCCGGAGCCGGAAATGTCGTCTAACGGGATCGCGTACTTGTTGAGCACGCCGATGAGGTGGCCGACTTGGTCGTCGGTCAACGAGGACGGGATAACGGACGCATGGGCTTCGCGCAGCGACTTGGCGGCATCCAACGACGCCACGACGTCGTCGGCCAGCACGTCCATGGACAAGAAAGGCGTCAACGCCGCCGCGTTCGACGTGTGCAAGTGCAACAACTTGAACAAGTTCTTGCGCACGTCTACCAACGACAACGCTTCATGGGGCTCGCATGTGTCCATGAGCTCGTCAAAGTGTTCCACCACGTACGGAGACACCTACGCATCGAACATGATCGTACATCGAGGAGTCAGAACACGAACTCTCAAGCATGTTTGCTAACGAAGAATATATATGCATGGAAAGGTCCGTACCGTGGTCAAATCCGCTTCATCCAATTCGTCCACAGGTTCGTCGTCGTCGTTGACCGCCGCGCACCCGGCGCACTCGTCGTCGTCGCAGTGTTCGTCGTGGAATCCTTCCTCCGGTTCAATGCCACCGGCAGACGACACGGTCGCAACTTCCGCAAAGATCACTTGGCCAGGGACCAAGGCTTCCGTGGCAACCACCGCCTTGGTGGCCGCATCCAGCGTCAACGAAGCGTCGGCAAACGTAGGGGCGTCGAATTCCATCTTGAGAAGGTGTCGCCTTGGCAAATCGAAAATGAATGCCAAGAAGTGTGCCACTTACCAACCAAAACGCCTGGCAGGGACGAACGGCCATGGGCGGCTGGAGCTGTACCCGCCCAAATGAATAATATTACCCGCCCATCCCATAGTAACCCATATATTATTAAAAGGCATTTGACCCGCCCACGGTGGACCACGGATTGGTAAAGTCGGATGGGAAAGGCAAGCGTTTCACATACAAAACCCTAGTTTAAAATGAACAATACTGGAGGACCTATATGTATATAAAACACCACAGGGCATCGTCGTGCAAAATTTGGAAGACAAATGGGCCAACCATATCAGGTGTAAGATGCTACACCATCGGATTGAAATTGAAGTATAGAACGATCCAACAGAGATTTATCCGAATGTATCCGGTATTTGATATCTCACGACGAAAGCATTTTGTGGAGGATGTGCTCCAACCCGTCGTCGCCTTGTCGAGAAGTTAGGACACTGTACATATATATATATATATATATATAGGACGTACATACAGTAAAGAAACCATGAACCAATACTGTACAATACTTCATCACACTACCACAGTACAGTAGCTCTGCTATTAGTGTCATGGCCTTACTATTGTACATACTGGTACTAATACACAGATACCATTAGCCGTAGAATGTGCACGGCTAAGATAATAGTACGAACTTAGTACAGTGAATAGTAGATGGTTCCCGTCCATCGAGGGGTCATATAAATTATAACAGGTTTCGCCTTCAATAGGTGTATACGATATATAGTAAAATTAATGCTAATATATGCATGATGTTTAACATGATATACATTATTTAAGTTAAACCATGCATAGTATTGTATGAATGCACTACCTAGATTGACATTTTCATTACCTTTCAAAACAACTTTTGCGCGCTTCCATCAAAACTCAACACCCAACTGCAGCATCATCATGACCCTTCCGACGGACGTCCTGGCTGTGCCTGAAGCACCGATCACGTATGACCTGAGCAAGCCATTGACGGCGACAGAGTCGTTCCGTCCTGGTCAAGTGATCTTCTACGAGACGGCGTTCATTACATCCACGGGAAGCTCGGTGCTGGAAGGGCACCATGACGAAGAGTGCGAGGACGAAGAATGCGACGGTTGTGTTGAAGTCGCCAACTTGGACGAAGATGAAGTGCCCCAGGTAGGTGCTCTACCGTCGCGTCATTCTGGACGCATCCTTCCCGTGTAGGTGAACGACGAAGTGGTCGACGATTTCGACGTGCTCATGTCGTACTGCGAGACGACGGAAGCGTTGGCGATCGTAGACGTGCGAAAACACTTGTTCAAGCTCTTTCGCCTCTACGAACTCGATTCCACGAGTCTGCACGAGCTGCTGCATCTACCCGTGGCCGCGGACCAAGCGCCGGCCTTTCTCGACGCCGCCATCGGTCTTCGCGCGGCACATCCAAACGTCGTGCCCCTCGGTCTCTCGGAGAACGATGTCGCGCACCTCATCGGCGTGCTCAACAAGTACTGCATTCCCCTCGACGAGGTTCGTCCCGTCTGGCTTGCATGTTCTGCCCTTTCTATCATTTGCCGTGTTTGTTTCCCATACAAATAGTAGTGTATTTATCTCGTTGAGCTGCCCCATTGCAATATAATATTAAACGTGAATATAAATAATCAATATAATCTCGAATCAATTCTACAATTGGAATATTTAAATATATTGTTCTATTACGTGTTGTGGTAATTTGGGGGGTTGCTATCGATTCTAATGAGATTGTTTAAGCTTATTCAATGTATGGTGTACACATGGTAAGATTACCATTTTGACTGGGTCAACCTACATCAGTAGTCGATGATTGGTTGAAATGTTAGTGCGTTTTTTGATTGGCTACGACATAGTCGCAAATATAACGGTCCCACCATTATATTTACGAGTAGAATCTCGAAATTGAACCTGAGTTTTGTCAATATTACAACTCTACCCTCGTGTGAATTCATCAGCCTGTACTACTACTGTACTAGTTGTAGTATATACAAAAAAGAGCAATAACTCGTATACATATTTACGTACATTTATATATAAATATATATATTTACGAACATTTATATATAAATATATATATTTAAGCACATTTATATATATATATATATATATGTACTAGATCGACAGCACGGGGCTGTTTGTATACGTGAGCCGTCTCCAGCACAGTTGCGTGCCCAATGCATGCTTCACAGACGCAGGCGACTCGCTCTGGGTCACGGCCATCGCGCCCATCGCGGCCGGCGACGTTGTGACGGTGGACTTTTTCAATTTGCACTACCAGCCCCATGCTGACCGCCACGCCGTGCTGTCGGAAGCCGACTACGAATGTCACTGTGCGCTGTGTTTAGGCCACGCACCCGATAAAACCCGTACGATTTGCCTTGGGTTTTTTGCCTGTTGTTTGGGGAGTCTCATTTGCTATCAAATACGTCCAGTTGATCTATATATATATATATGTTCATTGGATGTAGAATAGATACCCATTGGACTATACTATATATAAAGGTCCATTTGATATATATATATGTCCATTGGATCTATAAATATCTGCGTTTTTGCGCGTGCAATTTTTATCCATATTTATCCACTTGATCTATTTATATGTCTTTTTGATCTATATATATATATATATATATCGATGAAGTTGATCCGTTTAGGTCTTTTATCAGATCCATGTGTGGATTGTATAGTTTGACAATACCATTCAAACAAGTGGACATTGTATGTACATTACATTAGTATGTAGGGAGGTACAAGGTACCTATCGAATATGTCCATATATATATATATCTATTAAATTAATGTTGTGCTGCTGTCGTGGACGTATTATATATATCTATATATATATATATGCTATGTACACCCCCACCATGATGATGCGTATGATTACGATTTGAATCCCTATCTGAATCCCCATGTTGAATTGGACTATAGGTGCGTTCAACTGTGTCGCATGTGCTGATGGGATTGTGCATCCGACCCTGGACGTGTATGCTTGCTCGTTATGTGACGCTGTTTGGGACAACGACCTCGTGGAGAGGGCGACGGCGGAGGAAGCGATTTTGATGGACGAGCTCGAAGTGTTTACGGCGTTAGCACTGCGGGAGATCATGGCGGCTTCTCTGCTGCACCCATTCCACCACATCTTTTACGCCACCTGCTCCAACCTCATGAACGACAGCATCGACGACACGTTGACCCCTGAACATGCGCTGCTGGTACGATATATAAATAGTGCTGCCAACGTACGATGTATATATATATATATATATATATATACAGTATATTGGTGCCAACGTACGATGTATATATATATATATATATATATTGGTGCCAACGTACGATGTATATATATGTATGTATATAGTGCTGCCAACGTACGATGTATATATATATAGTGCTGCCAACGCACGATGTATATATATATAGTGCTGCCAACGTACGATGTATATATATATATTGGTGCCAACGGCGCGCAGTATTGGGTTGGTGTATATGATATTGAAATTCGGATTGGAATGGAGGATCGTTGTGGTCGAGTTGTCACTGTGGTAAAAGTAGTGGTTGCCACTGTATCATATACATCGTATGTGTTTGATATCTCAAAGTTGAAATATGTATATATCAAATTTGATGTATATATGCATGTATTTACATCAATATTTTCAGATATCAAAAACATACATTTATATATCGAACAATTCTGTAAATATAGTATGTATACATCAAATTTGTGATATATAACTATATGATTTGTTGTGATGGTATCAAGAGACATAGACGGCATACTGTTACTTTGTTTCGACAATGATATTTCACGGATAAAAAGTGAGTCATTCTTCTGTCGTCTCCCACGATGACCAAACCCAAACGCATGCAATAATAAATACAGCATACAATGTCTAGAATATATATATATTGCCTCGTATATTTGTGATTCCATACATGTTCCACAATACCTAAAAAGAATTGTCGTGATAAAACACCCAACGTTGAGTGTATTATATATATATATATATGTTGTGTCATGTTTTGATAGGGGTATATTTATTTGATGTGTAATAGGTGTACAAGGAGCTACTGGACAGTCTCAACTACGTCGTGCCGTATCCGCATGCATCCAAGATCCAGCTCATGAACCTCATGGCGCAGACAAGTGTGGGTGTCGGGCGCATTGAAACGGCCCGAGCGCACTACGAGGCCGCGCACGCGATGAGCTGCCTCGTATTTGGGTCGACCTGTGGGGAGACGAGATTGTTTGAGCAACTGGCGGAACATACCCCCACAAGTGTCGACGAAATGGCAGCTATCTATGGGTTTGAAGAAGAAGAGGAAGAAGAGGATGACGAAGAAGAGGAAGAAGACGAAGGCGAAGAAGAGGGGGGGGAAGAGGAAGACCCCGCAGACCCGTCGTCGCACCATACGATTGAAAATGTATGATAATTGGTCGATCGATGGCATTTGGGGGGGGGTTCTATTGACCACACAATATTGTTGTCGTTGTCGTGGTATTGTTACATGCACCGTTCGCATTCAACATACTATGGTCGTGTTATGATGTATTCGATTCAAAGTTGGAGTGGGTACTCGAATAGTGGTAGATCAACAATCGACTAGCCAATGAAATTGCTTCAATCCTAAATTCCAACCAATATATAATGGTAAAAGTCCAAGGCTTTCGTCCATTTGTTCAGTAGTATATACAATGGTGCTTTGAGTCGATTTCTCAAATATAAACTGCCCATTCCAAATTTGGGTGAAAAGGACAATATTTGGCGAAATATTAATCGCCTGGTGGGTGAAATATATTATTGGCGAAAAGTGAAATTAAACGATAGTTGGTCGAATTATACTGCTGGCTTGAAATATAAACGTGAAGTTTGAGGTCGCCACGAAATTAACAGTAAATGGAGATAACCGAAATATATCGGTGGTCTCGTGAAATATACTGCAAGTTGAGAGAAATATAGTGAAAAAAAGCTGAAATTAACCGCAAAAAGGTGTAGTATTGTCAAATCGATTCGAAACTGGAGCCCTCAACAGAATCGAATGTCTTAAGCGAATGGATTAAAGAACCGCCTAAGCCAATCAAATCACGTTCGGGTAAATCTCTGCCAAAAATCCAAAAGTTTGACTCGGCCCTTCGCATTGGGCAAAACCAGATATATACTAGTATTTGTATAGTATATTTATTACAAGCTTAAATTGGATCAAGTGGATTCGAATCGTGTATTTGGCGATATGACTCACAAGTCGAAATTTGGGCGAAATGCAACATTGAAAATGATTGTTTCCACTGGGGTTGGTGGGTATATATCATACAGTATGTATTGGAGATTCGGTATGAATTTCCGGACCCCGTTCAATCGAATCTCGCCGAGCGAATCGAGCGCCAATCTCTCCCATTGGTCAATCCGAAATTGCTTGTCGCTGATTGGCTCCAATCCATTTTCGAGTTCGGGCGAAGTGGATACTAATGGCCAATCAGATGTCTCGGCTCTATTTGTGCTCGATTGAACGAACCATACAAAATTGGGAACTTTGAAGAAAATCGACAATACTATGTGCCAATTTCTTTGATCGTATTTGATCCTATTTAAGCTTGTACACACTATAGTATACATAGATTAGTATGTACTCCTGGTTTCGCCCAAGGATTGGCAGAATATATATCGACAGGACGACGTGATTTGATTGGCTCAGGCGGTTGTTTCATTCCTGCGGTTATTCTAGTTCACCGCCATGCTTGTACACACGCAGAAGGTCCTCCTTGGTCGTAGGCGTGTCCGACATGAGCCGATGGTACAGCTGGGACTCATCGTAATCACGGCCGCTGCACAGGCAAGAGACGGTGTACGCGGCTTCGTAGGCGGCGGCGGCGCCCGGTATGTCCCCGATGGCCACCAGAGTTTGGGCCAAATGGTCGTAATGCTGGACCTTTTCATCGTGGGGATAGGGCAGCGTGTAGTTGAGGCACTCGAGCAGCCGACGGTAGATCTACCGTTTGTGAATTATATATTGTCTACCTTTTACACAAAAAATTTGGTTGACTTATGAATCACGAACTCTATCGATCGATTCAATGTTGTACTGATATATTTTGTATGTAAAAGAGTTGTCCTATGGTGATTGGTATCACACTAATTGAAGTCACACACCAATTTGACGTTGATGATGGTTTCCTGCAATCTGATTGGCAATAAATCCTTCTGCCGATGATTCTTCTGTCAGTTGTGTCGATTCATTCTGCATGTCGCTCCAGTTTAGAATATACGAACACAACAATGTAGAAATCTGTAGATGGGTATATATATATATTTATATATGTAGAATGGTAGGAAGGATTGGTGTATGAAACATATAGATATCGATATCGTAAAACGAAAACAACCTACCATCCAAAAAAGTCAAACATATATATATATATATAGATGGGGCCGAGTCACCCACCCCTGTGTGTAAACGATAGAACTGTACTATTCGTGAATACAATCAAACATACACACGATCTATTTATCGACAGCATGCACCATATACCAACCATATATATATATTTTTAGTTTTATATATAGTTTTATACATAGTTTTATATATATATATAACTGGAATCTACAGTCGAAACGTGATCCCATCATCGTCAACGTCGTCTCCATCCTACCAAATCGAACACGCAATTCCAACGATACACATATATATATATACACTTGACGTTTCAACCGAATCACACAAGTACACTCACAATATATAAATACTACTTACTATAAACTATCAATTACCCCCTTACAGGTAATAGTGTGTATATATATATATATATTACCTTGGCCAAATCCGTGTCTGGGACGTTCGAGTCGACACACATGGCATGTAAGTCATCAAGTGCCCAAAAGAAGATGTAGTGAAATGGATGCAGTAACGACGTCGCTATGAACGAGTCCAGGTCTGCCAGCGTCACCACATCCAACTCCTCAACCACAGATGACTCTTGGGCTTCAGCTGCTTGGATCTGGCTTGTTGACCATTCCGCAAGACAATTCACACATGTGAAGTTGTTGCCAGTGGGGTGCACGATACCTTCAGGGCAGTTGACGCATTTGAAGGCCCCTACAACGAATTCGGATATATATTATATATATATATATCCCATATATTTTTCACACACTTTCAATGCACGTACGTACGTATCCACGACAATATATATACACAAGGGAGACATGATATATTGTCTGTAGTAGTGTCAAGTATATATCGATTTGAAATTGAAGAGGGAGATCTGTCTCTCAATTGAGAATGAAGGCAAAATCGACCAATCAAAACCCACAACATGAATCCAGTGGCCAATCAAATTCACTCTTGGAATCATCGAATTCACTTCAAATCAAAAGTGTACATATAACAAACACTCGACCGATGATCGATGGATGGATCAGTCAGCAGCACCCAAAACACAAGACCCCAAAATTATATATATATATATAAAATGGCGGAAAAGCACAAGATAATATATATAAAAATATCGACAACGAGGTCGCACATCGTGTATATATTAGACATATATATCACGGCAAAACGTACGCGCGAGGTCAGGGGCACGCAGGCCACAGAGGTCGCACTGACATGAGATCTTGTCTACAGCTAGAAACTGGCGGCGCTCGTGCGCGGGGCGGTAGAAGAGGTCGGCGGCGTCCACCGTGAGGATCTGCCCAGCGTCGATGGCCGTGATGGCCGTGACCCACATGGTCGTGCCAGTTACCGTGAGGTTGCAGTTAGGCACACAGCTGTGTGTGAGTACACTTGAAAACACAAACACCCCGCTGCCTTCAATCTATATGTAGAACGTGTACAATAAATATATACATAGATAGTTCGATGGGGTAAAAAAAATATTTTGTAGCATCGATCGGTTGTTGTTTAAGCAAGAAACACAATCTAAAAATAATAATTCAGGAATTTATTTATTTGATCATTGATCAAGTAAGTATTAAAAATAAACAAGTCCTCCCCGTATATACAAGTATTAAAAATAAATGGAATATGTAAACAATATACTGTATAGCCACCACATACGTGGGGGGTCGATCAAGAAGTTCCGGCGAATTTCGTGCCAGCATATATATATATATATAGGCACATACACGATGCAACCCATGGACAATGGAATACACGTAAACTGATATATATACCGGTATAATAATGTGGTTCCGTGTCATGGACAGTAGTAAGTAGTACTACGTAGCTAGTAGACGACGTACAGTATAGTATAGCACAAAGATCGACATGAATATAGTCGAATTACCCAAAAAAGTTAGACTTTTGCGCTGATTCTTTGCCAAATCTATCGATCGATACGTATGTAAAACTGGTCCAGTGTCACACTATTTGAAGTCACACACTAATTCGAGGTTGAATTGGTCAAAGAAGAGTGGATTGGATTGGCTACTTGATGAATAATCTGGGTTTTGATTGGTCGATCGATTTGTTATTCTGCTCATTCGATGTGAGCACCCCACACTCCAATTTCGAATCGACTTGACAATAAGTGATAGTACATAGATCGACATATATATATATATATTTATGTATGTATATATATATATATATATATATATACATGTACAGTACGTGTACATATACGTGGAATAACAATGATCTTAGCGTGTCGATGATATAATAACAGTGAAAATATATATTCTCGCCAAACCCATAAGAAAGTATGAATAGGATTCAAAATAATATATTGGTTCACCCCATCCAACCAGTCCAGATGATACCAAGCGACTCATCATTCGAGTACCTCGTTGAGTGCGTGGCAGTACTTGTGGTTGAGCACGCCAATGAAATGTGCGACATCGTCATCCGACAGCGTGGACGGCACGACGGCGGCGAACGCGGCGCGGAGGGATGTGGCGGCGGTTGCGTACGCAGCGAGGTCGTCCGTGTCGATGGGGAGGGTGTGCAGAAGGAGCAGCGACTCGTGGGAAGGGTCGAGTTCGTGCAGACGGAGCAGCTTGAACAAGTTCTTGCGCACGTCCACCATGCTCAGGACGGGCACGTTGTTGCAGTGACTCATGAGCGCGTCGAACGCATCGAGCACGGCAGGGCTCATCGCGTCCACGTCGTCGTCATCGAGGACGATCGCCGGTCGAGGGTGGTGGCGGTGTCCTCGTTCACCTTCGTCGTCGTTCAACGGCTCGTTTTGCGGTTCGTCGAGCTCGACGTCGTGGTGGTGGTCGCAGCAGTTAGCGTCCATCGAGTCGCCAAACGTCGACGACACAAGCGCCACCTCCTGGAAGATGGGCTGCCCCGCCGCAAGTGCCATTGTCGCTCGGATCGGCTGCGTCACATCTTGGCTCACGGGAGCCTCCCGGAAGCTCGCGACATGGCTCATCATCGTGTGCTTGTGTTTGGTGCCTGTCTCAAATCAAAGTATGCCCGTACAACGACATGATAAAGTCTCACAGGTTTTATCTGTACTGTCAAATGGAATTCTCAGGAATGTCCGTGAATGGACGGCTGCGAGCAGCTCGAAGCGCGGCGCGAGCAGTAGGAAGCCTCCTGAGACTGTAGACCTCGTAGCGGCGGCAGTTGGGAGGTTACGAGGTAGGTATATGTACTATCGGTACATACATCGTCTGCTTTCCACCTTGGAGCAGTGATTGTTGCGTACCAGATCGTTCGACGACAGTGTGTTACAGTCTAGCTGAGGTGGGACGAGTACAGTATGTACGTACGTTGGACACTAACTAATAGTACTCCGAAGAAGTACACAAGGACTACTACTTCGAAGTAGTACATATTTCTAAGCTCTACGTAGTACTACTAGTACCTACAAGTACATACATACCTATCAATAGCTACTGTCACGTTAACTTATAACAAAGGGTGTTGTGTGATCTTGTACGATGAAAGCTTCCAACGGTACATACAGTATGTATGTGCTAGGCGTGGTGGATTGTTACAGTATGTACTACTAGTACTGTACAGTTATGACGTCTGCCATAAGTTACTACTTTACAGTGACGTTATTCAGGAAGTTGCATAGTAATGGTAGTACTACGAAGTAACTTACATATTGTCCTTCTCATGCAGTAAATTTCGACTGTTCAAAAGTGAAACCGTTTTCGAATGAACTTGGCAATATATCTTGTATTCACTATAGGACAGTGAGTTCAATCTGCAACGGGCTTTCTTAGAAAACGTATTGATTGGCTGAACTATTCAGAAATCTTGTAAAGGGGGGGGTTAGAATGGATTTTGATTGGCTAGTTCATTCTCAAATCGATTTGCCACGTCTATTCGATTCTACGAACCGACTTGACAGTACTGTACCACGCACGACCTTGTCCACGGGTGACTACTGTACTGTACCGATAGATCGAAAGTCACTGGCAGTTCGGCGCGGGAATGCGATACTGACGTTACAGTACTGTTAAGCTTAATAGCACTATTACTGTAGTAGTATGTGTAGCATGCCCATGCTTGCGCGAGATTTGATTTGGCTTGAAATATGTTATCCCTTTGTTGGCAGTAATTTCTTCTCACTCATGTATGTCAAGCGTTGGGTGTACATACAGTACGTATGTAGCTTTCCTTTGTCCGTTTCGCTTACTATTAACTAGAGCTACTGTACTCATACTATGCGTTGGAGATGCACTTATCTCTACGATATGTAACTGTAAATATCAACCCAGCGGTCACAAAAAATTGAGAGGTTTATGACTGCGGTCATGACCAATAAAATTGATATCCAAGATATCAATAGAATTGGAGAGGTTTTGGAGCTGATATTCCAGATATCAGTCGTTCTGGTCATAGCCAATGGACGTGCACTATTCGGAGAGTTTTAACCAATCTGAATCCAGAACCTTTCTCCAGTTACAGCCAATCAGGTCTTGTGTGAGTTTTGCGTTCCAATAGAAATTACGACACATTTAGCCAATCAAAACTTGTGTGGGTTTTGCGTTCCCACAGAAATTACCACTCATTTCACCTTTGGCCAGCATCATGGAACACGTCCTTGTCACCGCAGATGAGAATGGTGAGTACTTGTGCCCTCAATGCGAGGTCAAGTACACCCGCCAGGAGTAACTGCGCATGCACTGCACACACAAACACGGGCTCGCCATCACCTTCAAGGTCAAGCGTACTGCTGCCGAGAAGAGCGAACAAAGCCGCCAGCGAAAGGCAAAGTGGTCCGAGAAACAAGCGGCAATTCGTGCCCTTGTTTCGCTTTCGACCGTTGAAGAAAAGCGCGATGCGTTTTCGCGTCGCGACGCGAAAATGCGTGGGGTCCATGAAGCCAAGGATCCCATCGTCTACACCAAGATGTCGTCGATCCAGAATGCAGGTCTCGGAGTGTTTGCGGCTGTCGACCTTGTTCCTGGTGACGTGGTCACTGCCTACGACGGTCAACTGGTTCCCGATGCCCCGACCAATCACTTGTATGCTCTGCAGATCACGGGACCATCGAAGCCCATGTGGATTGACGGGCTCCGTGAACTGGAGCGTGGGAAAGGAATCGGATCCTTTGTCAACCATGCATCGCGCGAGCATCACTACTACATGAACTGCGACTACAAGGAGTTTGCTGAGTCTGCGTACATTGTCATCAAGAAGAAAATCAAGGCGAACAGCGAGCTCTTTACGGTCTACAGCTGTGGTTACAGATTCTAGTTAAGGTGAAATAACATGAACTGGTCCAAGTCACGCTGTGGTGTATTGGCGCAAAATGTCCTCCAAATTACGGCGAGATGCATGATGTTCCGCGATCACCTTCTTCAGCTCATCACAA